GTGTGTGTGTGTGTGTATATATATATATATATATATATATATATATATATATATATATATATATATATATATATATATATAATGTAGTTAGCAATTTATATGTAAATAAAAATAATAGTAAATATAAAATTCACACAAACACAAAAAAAAAAACTGTATAAAACATAAATATATTTGTATATAAAAAAATATTTCTGTTTAATTACTAGGTATTGCATACAGAAAAAAAGATTTTTGTAAAACAGTGTAAAACAGTGCCTCAAGTTGATTTTTACCTAAATTTGTATTTTACTTCTTGCAAGTCAAAAGCTAAAACATTTTTTTTTTTTAATTGCTATAATACCAAGGCCTAAAACAGGGTTCATTTATGCAACTTAAGCATCTGAGATGACAAAGTGGCTCGACTGACCTGAATTCACCCCACACACACACACACACACACACACACACACACACACACACACACACACACACACACACACACACACAGTATTTAATCAGCATCATAAATGAAGGATCTTTCTCAGTGTAATTTAACTCACCTTTGAGCAGGCCAGACCTCCAGAACCACCGCCAATGACGATGAGATCACAGTCGTACGCCTTACTGCCTTCACCCAGCAGCTTCTGCAGGTCGCCATCTTTGTGTGCCTGTTACCACGACAACCAACCCATCATTACCAGGAGCATAAAAACGATGCTGATAAGAGGCATCGTGAAGAGGTGCTTCAGCTTTATTCAGCTCGATTACCAAAGGTCTTCCCCACAGAGCTGCTTTACACTCCGTTACGAAAGAGCTGACAGATCTACAGACAGATGCATTATGCTTATGCACAGATTATGTGCATCCCAGACGCAGAACGCCGCATTTTAATGCAGATGGAGCATCTGGACTCAACGGTGCTATAAACAAACACGCTAAAATACTGTGAGAAGTTGCTCTTAATCATTGTAGGAATAGAGTCTGCCAATTTAAAGGTTACCAAGGTCAAGATACCTAGACGGCTAAAGGCCTGTTGAGAACAAACTCCAAAACAAATGATCACAGCTGCAAAAAAATGATTTGACATTATTAAAAATTAAAAAAATTATATATATAAAAAAAAAAAAAAAAAGCTGAAGCCCCGCAGTTACATATTGAAAGCCATTTAGTTAGTTAAGAATACTTAACACACCAGTTTTATTTTTAATATTTAATTAATTTAAACAATACTTGTTTTCAAAAATATTTAAAGCATTTAAACAGAAATCAACATCCTAGACATTAAAAGCCAAAATGTATAAAAAGCAGGTTTATTATTATTATTATTAAAAATGCAATACGTATCAAACTGGCAGCTAGATATTATTGTAATATCAAATCAGGAGGTCTATGGCGATTCCCAGCCATAATAACAACAGAAGACTTCATTTGCAAATACAGATAACTCCGTTTTTACCAATTCTCAGAAATCATGTTTTTTCATTGTGCATTCCAATTAATCTCAATCAAACTGCAGTGGGTTATTTTGACTAGGTTAAAAATAACTAAACAAAACAGCTAACTAACACAATAAAAACATAACATAAAAAAACATGATTTTTTTAAATGTAAAAAAACCCCGGAGTTATCGATTTTTGCAAATAAACTCTTCAACAGTAGTCACAACTAACATTCTCATATTTGACGTGGTTTAAAATCTCTCGCACACAGATGTTCAATCACATGCTGACACGTGAGATATTTCAGAGCGAAACGGACACATTTTAGAATGAAACTGAAAGTCCAGCCCTGAATCATGATGACAGCAATTTAGTAAATTAAATGGGACAAAACACATTTTTGTCCCAAAACAGAATTTCTGAGGGGGGAAAAATCATGAGGCTATTGTAAGAATAAATAAATAATAATAATAATAATAATTAATAAATAAATAAATAAAGTTGCTTTTATGCATTGAAAAAATTAGAAATGCTAAAACACAGAATTTGGTAAGAATAAATCAAACCGTGAGAAATAATGAAACATTACATAGGGCCCTAAACATGTATTTGTTGTTAAACTTTTAATAAACTGATGTTAAATTGTATAAGTTTCATGATATTAATTAATTAGACATGCTTTTTGATTAACAGAATTTAATTTAACCATTAAAAAGGAGTCCAGACAAAATCAAATGGAAAAAAACAAAACTGATTTCAAGGGCCCTACATGCAGAGATCAGTCAGAAGAATCCGCACCTTCATGGTGTTGTCACAGCCTCCGATGTGTTTCTTGTTGATGAAGACGTTGGGGACGGTTTTCTGCCCCGTCATCTCATGCAGCAAGTCCTGGTAGTTTGTTCCGTCCTCTGAAACACATCAAACATGATCAGTCAGGATCTCACCGCTCACGTTTCACATCTACACCACACGGGCAGCTCTCCAATAATCGAATCGGGTTCGGATCTGGCACTGCACACCTGCTCCTGAAAGCAATGTTTGGCTCCAAACACAGAGGAAAAAACACAGCAGCTAATCAGGTTTAGAGCTGTTCGCCAGAGAATCCATTATCAGGGTCATGATGCTACTAACCTGAGATGAACAGCTGCGCATGGACAGCGAGATAAAGAGAGCGCGAGACATGAAAGAGACACGGAGGAGGGTACGAAGGGGAAGAAGACTTCAGACGTTAGTAATGCTGAAGTTGGAGTGACTCAGCAAGTCGTCCGTCACGGCCAACACTTAAACATTAACTTAAGAGCTTCAGCACAATGTTCAGAGACCACAGCTAGAGTATTTCAGCTCAGCTCTGTCAAAGAGGCAGTAAAAGTTCAATACCGTTAAACATGAACGTTACATAATATTAGTTGAAGTGGAAACACATGCAGATAACATGCATAATCAGTAACCTTGCATATCAGGAAGAGCATCACATAAAAATGCATGTAATGCAATTGCATGTTCAGCAAAACAAATAAAGCAAAGATTGTTTTTTTTAAGTTATTGTGCTCTTACCCATCAGGTCCAGCTCTACTGCATTACACTTGACATTCAGCTCTTTAAAGAGCTCCTTCACCTGGAATTAAAGAAAACTATACATGTTAATTATTCAACAAGCCTTCAAACACTTTAGCAGAAAAATACTCATTACAGCTTTTGAAATGCATGTCATGAGTATCTCACTATCAGTGAATTACTTGGGCAAAAGAAACCAAGCTTCAAGTTCATGGAACGTGAGGTGGTCAAGACTATTCAAGATCCATGACACGTTACGTGCAAAACCACAAATGAGGAAAATCATTTAGGCTGTGGTAAAATGAGGGTTATCTATACATACTATACATACATCTGAACCCTTCACAAGCTGCTGGTTTAATTTCATCACTAGTTTGGAAAGCACATCACATTCGCCATTCTGCTTACAGTGACTATAGATTAACCTTCATCCCGAAGTCTAAAACGCAATCGTTTCTATGAAAACACTAATCTCCTTTAACTTTAAGGGTTTTCCAAAAGCAGTTTTGTACTCCGCGCACAGCTGTCCTTCTGCACTCCGACACACACTTAAAGGCGACATATCACGATATCTGACTTTTCCAGGTTTTAAGTGCTATTATCAGGTCCCCGGTGCATCGACCAACCAAGCAAACGTGAAAAACATTAACCCAATCACTTTGTTTTGGGAAGCCTTTTTCTGCAAGCGTCTGAGAAAACCAGCGCGTCTGATTTCGCTCGCTTTGTGACGTGGCAAAGGGATCTCATTATAATATCACCGCCCCTTAATCTGTAAACTTCCACGCAAGGCACCGTCATTTTGATTTCGCAAGCGACAACGGTGTACCAGCTCTAACGCCATGGAGAAAGTTTGAGCAAAACATACAAACCGTTCTGTGTTAGTCTGAAGAGACGAGCACAGAACACTGTTTAGAGTCCCAGCCTCAGATGAGACGAGAGCAGTGCATTTATTGATTTATTTACTGTATATTGGTGCTGCCACACAGATCTAAAATAAACATGTGATTTATTTCCCAGCTGTTTACCTTCACAGACATAACCCACTGTTTTTGTAACTTGTGTGTTTTTAACGTAAGCTTGTGTGTGAATGAGAACTTAATTTAGTGCTCGCATGCTGTGACAGCCGCTTTCTGTGCGTGTGCTTCTTCAGAGACCACAGCTAGAGTATTTCAGCTCAGCTCCGTCAAAGAGGCAGTAAAAGTTCAATACCGTTAAACATGAACGTTACATAATATTAGTTGAAGTGGAAACACATGCAGATAACATGCATAATCAGTAACCTTGCATATCAGGAAGAGCATCACATAAAAATGCATGTAATGCAATTGCATGTTCAGCAAAACAAATAAAGCAAAGATTGTTTTTTTTAAGTTATTGTGCTCTTACCCATCAGGTCCAGCTCTACTGCATTACACTTGACATTCAGCTCTTTAAAGAGCTCCTTCACCTGGAATTAAAGAAAACTATACATGTTAATTATTCAACAAGCCTTCAAACACTTTAGCAGAAAAATACTCATTACAGCTTTTGAAATGCATGTCATGAGTATCTCACTATCAGTGAATTACTTGGGCAACAGAAACCAAGCTTCAAGTTCATGGAACGTGAGGTGGTCAAGACTATTCAAGATCCATGACACGTTACGTGCAAAACCACAAATGAGGAAAATCATTTAGGCTGTGGTAAAATGAGGGTTATCTATACATACTATACATACATCTGAACCCTTCACAAGCTGCTGGTTTAATTTCATCACTAGTTTGGAAAGCACATCACATTCGCCATTCTGCTTACAGTGACTATAGATTAACCTTCATCCCGAAGTCTAAAACGCAATCGTTTCTATGAAAACACTAATCTCCTTTAACTTTAAGGGTATTTCCAAAAGCAGTTTTGTACTCCGCGCACAGCTGTCCTTCTGCACTCCGACACACACTTAAAGGCGACATATCACGATATCTGACTTTTCCAGGTTTTAAGTGCTATTATCAGGTCCCCGGTGCATCGACCAACCAAGCAAACGTGAAAAACATTAACCCAATCACTTTGTTTTGGGAAGCCTTTTTCTGCAAGCGTCTGAGAAAACCAGCGCGTCTGATTTCGCTCGCTTTGTGACGTGGCAAAGGGATCTCATTATAATATCACCGCCCCTTAATCTGTAAACTTCCACGCAAGGCACCGTCATTTTGATTTCGCAAGCGACAACGGTGTAGCAGCTCTAACGCCATGGAGAAAGTTTGAGCAAAACATACAAACCGTTCTGTGTTAGTCTGCAGAGACGAGCACAGAACACTGTTTAGAGTCCCAGCCTCAGAGGAGACGACAGAGCAGTGCTAATTTAGTGCTCGCATGCTGTGACAGCCGCTTTCTGTGCGTGTGCTTCTGATGTGTGCGCTCAGAAAACCTTATATCAGAAGTTTAAACTGCTATGGTTTAAAACGCATGATTTCAGCACGATAAACATGATTTTACAGCAGATACGAGCTGTAAAGGCGCAGCTCTATTCTGGAAAAGGGGGCGGGGAGCAGCAGCTCATTTGCATTTAAAGAGACAGGCCCGGAAAAAAAAGTTTCTGCTTCGACTCAAAATAGGCATTTTCAAAATTATATAATAAATGATCTGTGGGGTACAGACACATTCTGGGGACACCAGAGACTTATATTACACATTGTAAAAAGGGGCATAATATGCCACCCTTAAGAAAGACTCGCTCAAGTCTACAGACGCGTGACAGATCAGGATCATACCGTTTACGCTGGTAAATGTCATCATATGAGTCAGTATTTGATATTTAATTGTGAACATGCATTTCTGCCCATTTTCTTACTTTTGCCACGTTTTAACACTAACCTAAAGAGACCGTGCTGGATTACAGCATAGATTTAACCCTTTAAGAGCACTATTTCATGAAGAATGTTTTTTCTTCAAATTATAGCTCACACACACACTCTCCCTCTCTCACACTCTCACTCTCTCACACTCTCCCTCTCTCACACTCTCACTCTCTCACACTCTCCCTCTCTCACACTCTCACTCTCTCACACTCTCCCTCTCTCACACTCTCACTCTCTCACACTCTCCCTCTCTCACACTCTCACTCTCTCACACTCTCCCTCTCTCACACTCTCACTCTCTCACACTCTCCCTCTCTCACACTCTCACTCTCTCACACTCTCCCTCTCTCACACTCTCACTCTCTCACACTCTCCCTCTCTCACACTCTCACTCTCTCACACTCTCCCTCTCTCACACTCTCACTCTCTCACACTCTCCCTCTCTCACACTCTCACTCTCTCACACTCTCCCTCTCTCACACTCTCACTCTCTCACACTCTCCCTCTCTCACACTCTCACTCTCTCACACTCTCCCTCTCTCACACTCTCACTCTCTCACACTCTCCCTCTCTCACACTCTCACTCTCTCACACTCTCCCTCTCTCACACTCTCACTCTCTCACACTCTCCCTCTCTCACACTCTCACTCTCTCACACACACTCTCTCACTCTCTCACACTCACACTCTCTCACACTCACACTCTCACTCACACACACTCACTCTCTCACACTCTCACTCACTCTCACTCACTCTCACTCACACACTCTCACTCTCTCACACACTCTCTCACTCACACACTCTCTCACTCTCTCTCACACACTCTCACTCTCTCTCACACACTCTCACTCTCTCTCACACACTCTCACTCTCTCTCACACACTCTCACTCTCTCTCACACACTCTCACTCTCTCTCACACACTCTCACTCTCTCTCACACACTCTCACTCTCTCTCACACACTCTCACTCTCTCTCACACACTCTCACTCTCTCTCACACACTCTCACTCTCTCTCACACACTCTCACTCTCTCTCACACACTCTCACTCTCTCTCACACACTCTCACTCTCTCTCACACACTCTCACTCTCTCTCACACACTCTCACTCTCTCTCACACACTCTCACTCTCTCTCACACACTCTCACTCTCTCTCACACACTCTCACTCTCTCTCACACACTCTCACTCTCTCTCACACACTCTCACTCTCTCTCACACACTCTCACTCTCTCTCACACACTCTCACTCTCTCTCACACACTCTCACTCTCTCTCACACACTCTCACTCTCTCTCACACACTCTCACTCTCTCTCACACACTCTCACTCTCTCTCACACACTCTCACTCTCTCTCACACACTCTCACTCTCTCTCACACACTCTCACTCTCTCTCACACACTCTCACTCTCTCTCACACACTCTCACTCTCTCTCACACACTCTCACTCTCTCTCACACACTCTCACTCTCTCTCACACACTCTCACTCTCTCTCACACACTCTCACTCTCTCTCACACACTCTCACTCTCTCACACACTCTCTCACACACGCTCTCACACACGCTCTCACACTCTCACTCTCTCACTCACACACACTCACACACACTCTCACTCTCTCTCACACACTCTCACTCTCTCACACACTCTCAGTCTCTCACACACTCTCAGTCTCACACACACTCTCAGTCTCACACACACACACACACACACACACACACACACACACACACACACACACACACACACACTTCTCGTGTTTCTTCTGTCGTCGCTCACCTTGACGCAGTAGGGACAGAAGCTCTTGCTGAACACCAGCACTTGATGAGAATCGATCATCTCTTTGATCTTCGATCGGATCTGCTCGCGTCCCGCGTCACTCTCGATGGGCGGCATGACGATCAATAACCGATCACGGGTCGATATTCCGCGCTCTTCCGCTCCCTGAGTCGAGGATTACGATTAAAATCAAACTTTATCTCAACATTAACTCATGATGTGACACTAAATATCATGTTAAATGAGACTAAACCCTCTCCTGTCATCTCGAGACCGCCGCCGAATGACGCTCCGCCGCCGGAGCTCGCCTCTTACAGAAGACCCCGCGAGCCTGACCCGCGCGCGCCTGACTGAAAATCAGCCCGGCTTCGCTTACCGAGACCCACGTGTTGTCTAATACAGCTGTCATAACTTATAATGTCAAATAAACGCGAAAAATAAACTCAAGCCCTTTAAAGAAAACTGATTATACGGCACCGTGAATCTCAGTAGACCTCATACTCTGAATAAATACACTGATAATTGATATTATTATTTACTCTTATTATTATTATTTATAACAATGTAAGACAACCGTGGAAAACCCGTCAGGCAGTATTTGTAGACGCCTCAGTGGGTTTGAAATGGACACTTGCGCCATCTGGTGGCTGAAACCGAGCAATGCGCAACTCATTTACAGTAGACTCGCAGAACATTTAGTTAATCAGTTCAAACTAAAACACATTTCATATGCACATTGTTTGTAATTGTTATTAAGTTAATATATTTAGGCTGTAGCTCTAGTGTAGTGTCTCCACATTTCATATTTCTTCTCTACTAAGTGTTTACCTGAACATGATTTGTTTTTAAACAAGTATTTTTGCAGATACACGAGCAGTCAAATGTCAGGAAACACCTATTTTCAATAAATAAATAAAAATTGCTATATATTAATTGCATTAATGGAGGTATGGGAATTATGTAGTGACTAAAATCAGTCAAATCAGTCATTCTCGAGACGTGGGACAAAACAGGTCCAGCAAGGGTTACTGCTATTAGCTTTAAAAATACAAATATTTTCAATTTTAAATGTCATGAGGGATTAATAATAGAATGTATTTAACACAATTATCACCTTCAATTTATTTTTCTCATTATACCAAATCTATGTTTCTTAACGTCCTCTCGCTGCATCTAAAACAGTGTGTCCACAGAGAAGGGTTCATATGCAATAAAATGGATAAAAATGTTTTTAATGATGAAAAAGAGCTTGTTTTATCAAAAGCAACACTTAATAATATCTCCTATCAAAGCAAGGTTTTTAATGACACATGCATGTTTCATAAGATTTTAAAGTTGCGTCCCCACTTTTGGTCAACACCGGCAGACATTCAATAAAGTGTAATAAACTCAGGGAATATGAGGGGCAGCTGTCACACTAAAGGACCCCCTCGCCACAGTTCACCTGTCTCAGGTGGATTACAGGCTCTGCTCAGTTTTAGTTTTAGAATATTTTAACTCCTAACATTAATATTTCCTGTGTCACAGCCATCATACGTCAACACCATCTTCCAATTTCTGAGGAAATTATTGGAAATATTTAGATGATTGTATTCTCCTGAAGCAGGTTCCGTCAGCATCTCGCATCAACAGAAACACATAAAATGCTACCACATGCACTCCACTGGTTTTGTGAAAGAAATGCCTCATTTGTCACCGCCGTCAGATCTAGTGTTCCAGTGATACATCACAAAACTTCAATGCCACTCTTCAATAAAAGCTTTAGAAACAATAACATACTCAGTTTCTTTTAATACAGTAATTGACTGATTCAGTGTATTTGATCGTTAAAATGACTACAAATTCAGGTTTTCGTCACCTCCGTCAGTTGAATATTTTGATAATATTTCATTATGATATTTTATGTTTTTTTAACATGTGAAAGTGTAATCCGTCTGCTAACACCAGAATGTGTTTTGAAATGTTAAAAACATCTTTAATGCTGTTAAAGATAAAGCTGAAATTATATTACACAGTCCAAGCTAAAAAAAAAAAAAAAGCACATTTTGTTAAAAAAGAGAAAAGTTGGGAGGTTGTATCAAAGCATAGCTCAGTAGCTTCGTACATATAAGATACATAAATATAGTTTCATTTGTCGGAGTACATGGTTATTTTGCACCCTGTTTTGTCCCACTTCTCAAGGATTACAAAAATACCAATAACCAATAATAAAATGAGCAATAATCATATTGCAGAACACATGTCTTCTACCTGAAGGACACTTCATCTCACTGGGTGAGTAATTAGTGACTTTCTAAGAGCTATAAGGTCGTCACACTCATTAGAGCTGGTTTTAAAGTCTGTGTTGAAGCAGAGAAGCAGCTTGATCTGTTTTCTTACAACACAAGACTTTGAGTTCACTGAGTTACATACAGTGGAACGACACCTGGATTTATTAGCGCAAATCTGAGTCTGTTTACTGATTCGTCTGAGAAACTTAGCAAGCTAATCTACAGGGTGTTAGAAAGAGAAATCTCATTTATTCAGTGGTTCGTAATAATTGATGTCATTTGCTTTCAGTGCATCTGATTTCAAATGTTTCAGCAACAGTGAGAATAAAACGTGTGCTGCTTCAAAAACTTGACATTTCTTCATTTCGATTCGATTTTTTTTTTATTTTAACAAAGATTTTACATTATATCGTGTTTCGCTCCCATAAAACCATATATAGATTTCAATATATAAACTTAAGAAGTGTCCATACTTTGGTCAACATGAAATATTTAAGAAAACATTTATAGAATCAGCAAATATCAAAGTCAGTCTTCATCCCAGAAGTGCTATTTTTTATTATTATATTATATAATTTATTATAGTTGTTATTATTTTTCCCCAACACCACCACACAAACGGTTATTTATTTTTCTTGCTCCATCACATAAATTATTTATAACTATTTATAATATTTATAGCTTGCACATAAATTTCTGCATAGATTTAATTGAATAATATTTTATGACACAAATGTTTGTCTTGCGACCTTATTGAGTTTCAGAAGCACATAGAAACTGAATAAAAGTGATTAATAATAAATAAAGAAACACAAGAAGTAAAAATAAAACTTGTTACAAACTCATCATTTGGTAAGGTTTTTAGAATCTGAGTTCCAAACTTTCACATACATTTCTGAATAGATTTAACAGAATAATAGTGTGTGTGTGTGTGTGTGTGTGAGTGTGTGTGTGTGTGTGTGAGTGTGT